TACAAACAATGTGGCATCCCGTAGTTGCTTGGAAAAATGAAGTCCTGATATATGGTATGGTGGTACGAATGAATCAAGTAAATTACAAAAGGATAAATGTTAGATGATCTGTCCTGTGAAAAGACTTCTTGTTATGTGCTGTCAAGTTTGATGGTGACTCATATCGACCATATGTACAATATCCCTATACCCTTCTCTATCCTATGCCAGTCTTATTGTCTCTGACACACCTCCTCCCATTACCCCAGTCACTGAATCAATCCATCTCATCAAGGGTCTTCCTCTCTTGCACTGTCCCTCCACCCTTCCAAGTCAGATGTCCTTCTCCAAGGACTGTTCCCTCCCAGCCATATGCTCAAAGTAAGTGAGAAGGAGCTTCTGAATTCTTGCCTCCAAGGAACAGCCTGGTCTCGCTCTCTCTAAGATGAACCTGTTTGTTTTCCTAGCAGTCCATGATATATTCATTACTCTTCTCCAGCACTACAACAAAGGAATCCCTTGTCATTGTCCAGCTCTCTGATGCATAGCAAGTACTTGTAAAGATCATGGCCTGCATCAGGCCACACCTTAGTCTCCAGACTGGTTTCATTGCTCTTCAGTACTTTGGTAAGATCTCTGACAGCACATTTTCCCAATGCAATTTTTCTCGTGATTTCCTGGCTGCTGGTACCAAGAGTGTTGATTGTGGAGCCAAGCAAACCGAAGCTGTTAACAATCTTAATCTCTTCACCATTTATCATGATTCTCCAATCAACGCGGTGGTGAGAATCTTTATTTTCTTGATGTTGAGTTTCAGTCCATATTGAAGGCTACAGTCCTTAACCTTCTGTAGTAAGAGCTTCAGGTCCTCCTCAGTTTCAGCAAGCAGGGTTGTGTCATATACAAAACTCAAATTGTTGATAGGTCTGTCTCCAATCTTGGTGCCACATTTCTCCTCATAGAGGCGAGCCTGGGGGATAATCTGTTCAGCATATAGATTAAAGAGATATGGAGATAGGACACATCCCTGGTATACACCCTTTCCATATTTAAATCCTTGCTCTCTTTTGATGACTGCATCCTGGTCCAAGTATAGACTTGTCCTAAGCACAATCAAGTGTTCTGGGCTTTCCATTCTTCTCAGAGTCAGCTAGTTTGTTGTGATCCACACAGTCAAATGCCTTTGCATAGTCAGTGAAACAGCTATTCCTCTCATACTGTCCGCTTTCAGGCAAGATGTATCTAACATTACCTATAATATCCCTAGTACCACGGCCTCTTCTCAACCCAGCCTGCACTTCTTGCAGTTCTCTGTTCCAGTTGTTTTTTGGATAATCTTCAGCAGAATCTTGCTTGCATGTGATGTCAATGATATTGTTTGATAATTTCTGCACTCTGTTGGTTTACCTGTCTTTGGAATGGGAACAAATATGGATCTGTTCCAATCAGTTGGCAAATAGAAATTAAAGTATATTGGTGGTAATCTGTGATAGAAGGGTTGGTGAAAAGTAGACAGTAGAGTTAATAATGATTAAAATTGTGCCAATTATTGCAATTACTATCAGTAAATCATACATCTTTAAAATGTTGAATAGGCAAAAGTGTGTGTGTGTGTGTATTCAACAACTCACACCCCCCCAAAAAAGTGGCTATTTATGTCCTTACGGGATTTGTTTTCTTGGTTTGGATATTTAGGATCCTGCTTTGGTGGCTTGGAAATTTAGGATCATGGTTTCATGCAGTATCTAATTTGGTCTGTTAGTTTACTTAGTCCACCTCCTTGTCTAGCGTGTAGTGACTGAGATATTAAAATCTTGCAAAAGGTCACCCAAGACATAGCAAGTAGTTTCTGTTCTGAAACAACAGAGGAAGGAGAGTTAGTGATACAAAAGGTTCTGGAATGTGTGGCTAATGATCTCCATGGACTCCACCTTTGCCAGGAAACCAGAAAAACGGAGCGGTACCACTCTACCAATACTGAATATTTTTGTCAAGGATAGTATAGGAGACCCGAATCAAAAGGCGGAATAGATAGAACAGATTTAAAAATTGTCATATCAAGTATAAACTTTCTGGAGTCATGGAAGTTGAATGAATCCATGAAACTGTTGCCCTGAGATAATTTTCAACTTTGAAACCAAAAATACCTATTAATGTCTTCTTAAAACCTACAGTAGTTTAGTTTAACTAAACAAAGGTCTTTCTTGAGCTTTATGTTGTTTGAAGAACTATCTACATGAGATTAAATTGATAACAGTCACTGGAAAGAGTAGATAGTCACTGTAGAGGACAGTGGATTTATGGCAGTGAGGGAGGAACAAGCCAAAGATGGAGGGTGAGTATAGATGCTTAAGAATGTAGTCAGTGTCATTAAATTGTATTTGTTAAGTTACTGTCTGTTGTGCATATTCTCAACAAAATTAATAAAAATTAAAAGTAATTAGCTGCAATAAAGATAATAGGTTGTCACTGTGCCTGGCTGTCCCACCCACTGTCTGTCTGTATATATGAGAGGACACACAGACTACTTCATTTCCTTGTTGCGCCTCAAAGTCTCATCCACCTTTGCAAAATATTCCTTCTAAAATGAAGTTGGCATGCAAGGAATAAAGAAAGTGGAAACTATATCTACAAGCTACAACAACAGTGATCTTTTCAATAGCAAATGGCCAGGTCTTTCCTCTCATGGAGCCTTTGGATGGGTTCAAACCACTGTCCTTGTAGCAGCCAAGCACAGCATGTTAATGATGAATATCACACTTCAAATTTAACTCTGAACTGACTGTGCATCTTCGTTCCTGATATGTGCATGTGCCTCATTGGGAGCACTCGGGATGTGTGAAATTTGAAATCAGGACAGTTACTCAATTCAGAGTTCAGTCTGGGGTAGGGGGTGTATGTGAGTGTTTAGGTGGTATTGAGTTGACTCTCATTTATATGGTCCTCTGCATAACAGCCTGGTATACCCAGTTACCATGTCTATTTGTATATGTACACACACACAGACACACACACGAGAGTTCTGATGGGAAGTCCATAGAGAGCTGCACTGCTGACCCAAAGGTGACACCTCCGTAGGCTGTTGGATCCCTGAGTGTTTCCATGGGAGAAAAATAAGGAATCTCTTCCCTTCTGATTTACAGCCTCTGAAAACTTACTGCAGGGATGGGAATTAGTATGAATCGGTTCCAACTCCACCGCTGTGAGTGACAGGCTGGGAATATATGCACACACACACACCACGTAGATATAATCTTTAAAAGGAAACAAATGTCTGTGAATGAACTAATTTCCTGCACTTTTGTGTTTAACATTGCAGTTCTCCAGTGACAATATCTCCTATTCTTGGGCTTCTTGTTTCTAATGATTAAATACACACCGCTGTTGAGCTGATTCCAATTCATGATGACCATCCATTGGACTTCAGAGGCTGTAAACCTTCCTAAGGGAACCTGATTAAGGCAACAGAGCTTGTAGATTGAAATTGCTTACCTTCTGGTTAGCAAGTCAACATGTAACCCACCAGAAAAGGCCACCAACATTTATCACTGCAAATAACCCCAGTAAATAGGTAACAGTCACACTATGATTACTAAACCAGTTGCCTCATTTGTAGTGGTCTTGTGGATGTCAGGGTAGAATTGCATTCTGCAGGATGTTTCCTGAATGTACTCTTCGGAAATAGAATGCCGTGCCTTTCATCCAAGTTGCCTCACAGTGCATTAAGACCACTTACCTTTTAGTAGCCAAGCACTTAATAATTTGCACTGCCCAAGGTGTTATTGTGGGGGTGCTCTCTAGAGGATTCTTACTCAAAGCAGCTCCATGTGACAGTACAACTGCCTCATAAGATATTCTAGTTTGTGATCTTTAAAGTTTTCTGAAACTAGGTTGGAGACAAGGATTTTAAGACTCTGTTCACCTACTTGGGGTGCCAGCAGAGATCAGTCCTTGGAAAAGGACATCATGCTTGTAAGGGTAGAGGGAGAGCGCAGGAGAGGAAGACCCCGGGTGAGATGGATTGACTGTGGCAATGGGGTCAGGTATGTCAGAGAAGATGAAGTTGACTCAGGATAGGGCAAAGTTCAGAGCCATTGTTTTTCCATAACAACAATGATTTTTTTCTATAGCAAATGGCCAGGCCTTTGCTCTCATGGAGCCTTTGGATGGGTCCAAACCACTGTCCTTTTAGCAACCAAACACTTTAGCTTTTTAGATAATTGTTGTGGTGGTGTTGTGTTTTGTAAAATCGGAACCAGCCCATAGCTGACCTCCTGTTGGTTATCAGAGGCAATTAATTGCAAGGGAGGAGATTGCCCATCCTTCTCCCTATGGAGCAGCTGGTGGCCTCGAACTGTGAGTCTTCGGGATTGTAGCAAAGATTCTTTCCACTAGACCACCAGAGCTCCTGATCATAAATAAAGAATACTCTCATATCTGCCTGTACCTTGAAGCCCAACGTTGGTCTTACTTTCCTTGAAGAACACTGAAAATGAAGTTGATTTCAGTTCAAGCTTTCTTCATATCCCACATATAATAGATATTCATGTTCTAAGGGTAAATATTTTTTTCCTGTCTTTGGTAAATTACAAAATCAAGTGTCTTAGCCATAGAAATGAACAAGATATGTCCCAGAATGTTTCAGTTTTGTCTTTAGCTTACTGTAATCTTCCAGCGAGGATGAATGCTTTTACACAAATAATGAAGATACCACAATTGGCAGCAATTTTGTTGGGAAACTGGAAGTCCTTGCCCTTTCAAAGACTAAGTTCCACTGAAGAATATATTATTTCTTAGATATAAGGCATCTCCCTCAGATCATGTCACCTCTCCATGTTGAGAACAGGAATGGTGTTTGTCGGATGTTCCTCCCAAACCCAAAGTCCTGGCCCTTTGTTCTCAGTACTTTGCCATTTTGATTTTGCTTTTTGAATTGCTTGTGACTCTCTGCTTCCCCCGTCTTTTTTTTTTCTTTTTCCTCTTTTTTTTGGTACAATGATTCTTACCTTGTCTTTCCCCAGTCCGTTTCTGACCTGGAGAGATGTACAGCATGTTATTGTCAGGACTTCCCGTGCAGGACATTTGAACGCTAATGACTGGAAAACCAATGCTGCTGGTTTTAAGGGTGAGAACTTCTTTCATATTCTCTCACAGGCAAAATATTTTTTTTAATTTTTCCTCCATTTTAAATGGAGAGCCATAAATGGAAACCCTCAAAAGAAACTTTACGTTTTGTGTTGACCAACCATGAGCTTCGTCTTTTCAGTAAAATAAAGGCAGATTAATTTTTTTTCTGCTCAATACAACACAGTTAAGGCAGATTTCCTTGGCTCCCCATATCATAGGTCAATACTTTAAAAGATCAACCAATGTCTAATACAGTTGACCTATGAGATTACTGTTTGCTGTCACTAATTGTCTAAGTGGTATTTGTAATAATGCATTTTAGAAATTCCTCGCCTATTATAGGGACTTTTTCCTCTTAGAGTAATTGATATATCTTGTTTACTTTCTTATAAACTGCTAGTTGCTAAGCTAATTTAATTCCATTTTTTTAAAATTTTGGTTTATGCTAACTTTCACAAACAAAAATAGGCATAGGTCTAAGAGCTATAACTCTATTAAAAAGAATAGGTCAGACTAAGGTTTTTATAAATTCTTATTAAGCTTTATCATGCATACTTTTTATGTAATGGTGTTATATAGTACAAATTATAATAATATAGTCCTGAGTACTTTTCTATGGCTGATAGAGATTATAATTCCTATTAACTATAGAGATTATAATTCCTATAAACTATTTTATCAATTCCCATAATCTGTCATCATTTGTTTGTTTTCATAGATAATAATGTTACGTCAAGAAGAAAGTAATTCTATAAAAGAGATGTCTTCAAGGTTTATTTGTTTACTGTAGTTTTACTTGATCGAAGTTTTAATAGATTAACTTAATTTACAAATCAAGATTACTTTTTATTACACCGATAGCTTTAAATTTACTCTAAATATTCTTGATATCATTATATATCCCGTTGGCTATATAGTTACATCCTTTGTTTCTATGAGTGGCACCTAAGAACAACTTAGAAAGAAAATAGTATCTCATAGCATGGAGAATATCAACTTAGAAACAAAGACCTTGATCTTCAGTCTGTAACTTGCTAAATAATCCTGGGCATATCTTTGAATTTTTTGGGGTCCTAGCTTCCCCAACATAAATATTTTAGAAGTTGAACAATATTATCTATCTGCTGTTATCTTACACCTGCTCTTAATGTCTTTGATTAATTTTCTTTGATATATGAAAATACTTATATAAGAAATGTCTATTTTAAAAGTTATTTTCAAATCTCTCAATATAGGAAATTGCATACTTCCAGTACTTTACTGTAGGAAATATATATATTTGAAAAGTTAGCGTGCTAAGAAAAGCCTTTAAAGATTCCAAGGAACCAGAGATACAGAAAACTATTCATCTTCACTGAAGATTTTATTCTGTTGTCAAGACAAAAAAAGACTGTCCCTCTGCTTTTGTGTATTATCAGACACTCTTCCATGTTTGCAAACCACACAAGCAGCAATGTCCGCTGAGATTTCAGTCTGAATGGTTGTGCATACCAACTGGGATCACATTTTTAAATTTCAAATCAAGACACTTGATCTTCAAATTGCATATATATGGGTGGCATCGAAAGCAATTGGAGTTTTACTTGTTCCAGACAATACAGGATGTAATTTTCTTTTTGTGTGTTCTGTTTTGATTAGCATCCACATGCTCCCAAATCCTGCTGTGTAGATAAATGCATGAAATGTGGAGGAAGTTCGGGACCAGAATTTCACCTTGACTGGTTCAGCTGAGCAGTGAACTTCTTACCAGAAGTTCACAGACTAAGTACATTGACCTCCATGAAGCTAAAGAATCAACTTTAACTCAAATAAAAGTCTTAGTTTTACTTTTTCCTTTCTGGCAAGTTAAAAAAGAGCAAATGGTTCCAATAAAAGCTCAGTGTTTTTGAAACCCTCTGTTGGCTTTGGAGGAGAGGAAGCAGGATTTAGACTAAATCACCAGCTCCAATCCTAAATCTGAAGGGGAATGTACACTGCTTCTAGCGAGAAGGAAATAGCGTTTTACTATTGCACGTGGCAATATTTAGTATAATATTTCACTCTTCCCTTCGATGGCTGCCAAGAGTAACAATTAAAGTTGGTTTTTTTCATAGAAGAATTACTCTGGATGGTCTGGGCTCTCAGTGGAATTGTTCTGTAATTTTGTTGGTGGCAGGCCCGTACTTCACCTAAACCTGATCAAAATAAGAGAGAAAGCTTTTTGGAGGGTTGTTTTCTCCCTGATTCTGAACATTGTTCTCCCTTCCCCCATGCCGCTGAGTTCAGTCCAACTCCTAGTGACCCAGAGGACAGAACAGACAACCCTGTGGAGCTCTGGTGCCCTAGTGGTAAGAAGCCATGTTGCAGTCCCGAAGGCACACAGTTCAAATCCACCACCTCCTCTGTTAGAGAAAGATGGCTAGTCTCCTTCTGTGCAATTAAACTGCCTCTGAAAACCCATTGCAGTGTCAGCTGTGGGTCAGTTCCAACGTAGTGGGGTACAACAACAATAGGAGTTTCTTTTTTTTTTTTTCTTTTTATGGGTCTTTTTAAAATAACATTTTATTTCAATTGTGATTTTAACAAACATTACAGAGAAGTTAGATTTTCATTCATTCATTCATACATTCATTAATTGTGGCCCATTTTTCCATCCCTCTCGCCATCCCTTCCCCTTCCTCCCGTTCACTTTTTAATTATTATTAAAAAATAATAGGTGTTTCTAAGGCTATAAATCTTTACAATAACAGACTGTTACATCTTTTTCACAAAGAGTGGCTAGTGCCTTCAAACCAGCAGCCTAGAACTTCACCACTGCATCACCTTTTCTCCATGCCCTACTCCGCCCCCATTGTCCCACAGATTATGGTGATTTAGACAGCTTAGCCTGAGAAGCAGGGTGCCTTGGGAAAATAAAGAATGCAGGTTATCACTACGCCTGCAGAAGGAAGGGCTGGCTTTTTATGAAATTAGCACTGAAAGAATAAAAAATAGATGTTCCTCAAGAGCTAGTTCTTGATTTAGGTCATGGGCTCTTACAGGCTCCTCTTAGCCGGAGCCAGTAGCTGCCTGGGATCCATGGCTTTTCCTACACATAGAAACATGTAGCCATGGGTGCTCACCCTGTCCCCACCCAACTCAGTTCTCATTGGTGAAATACAGTCACGGTGCCCTGATGATGAGCAATCTAATTTGTTTCAAGAGTGTGTTATTTTAAAAGTCCCATGCATAATTTAGCAAATGGCTCAGTTGGGTATTTGTCTACAATGGGATATCAGTATCTCCATCAGAATTCCTTTCTCATCAGTTAAAGCAGAAGCAGCTCAGAATAGCAGCCACTTTAACTTCTGAGGTTTGAACATTGGTAGACTTAAGAGTCTTTGTTATCACTGACAGTTTCAGGAAAACACGCACTCAAAAGAACAGCCAGATCCCTTCTATTCCTTCAGAATGTCATGCATGTCATAGGTGCAACCTAGACTGAGAACAGAGCTAGGAGGCCTGTGATCCTGGTTGGCATAGGCCCCTCTTCCAGGCAGACTCCATCCACACTCACTCACATGAGTTATGGGCCTAGAAAAGAGAAGACGGTTCTTTCTTCCTGAAGCAGCTACTGGCTCCCTGTAGACTGGCATGCACAGCTTCCCGTCTAGGGGAGAGTTTGACATTAATATGTTAGAAAGTATGGCTGTCTGCTAGGTTTATTTCTTCACCTGAGAGTTGAATTGCACCCAGTTGAGCCACATTCAGAAAACTTTCTGTGTTCTCAGAAGGGACACCAGTCGTCAAAGGAGCTCACAATGACAGGAGTCCCAAAGATGAAAGTTACTCATGGGCGTTTTTATGCAAAGGTTACCTTCAGTTTCAGGCATTTTAGTTGAACTAAGATAAATCTTACCTCATTGCTTCTCACATTGTAATTAGAATGTCTCTTTACAACAGATTAATTTTGCAAAGTAAACAGGCACAGCCAATGAATATATGCTGTGGAACCTCAGTAAACATTTCACTTTCTTATCTTGTAAATAAATAAATGTCAGACTATACTCTTTGATGTCGATCTTCCCTAGAGGGAGTTCCTTTAAAAACAAGTGGAATGAGTGGCACTTATCAAAGATCTACTTGCCATTCGGCAAGAGAATAGGAAACTGAGAGACCAGATGGACAGATATAATACTCTCTGTCTTGAGAACTAGAAGCCAAACTTCAGTATTTTGCCACCAACATTGTTTGACATTGTGGTGATTACTTTTGGGGGGATTTTGGTTGGTTGGTGGGGGGTTGGGTTGTTTTGTTTTGTCTTGGTTATTTCTTTTCTCCCTTGGTGCCTTCCATTGCTGTTTGGAGGAGGGGGTGTCTTTTCTCATCTTTTTAATACTCACTTCTGCTCTGTTGTTATTACTGTTGTTATTATGTGCCATCGAGTCGCTTGAGACTCATAGCGACCCTATGTACAACAGCCCTAAACTCTGCTCTGTCCTGTGCCAATCGCACTGTCTCTGACACTCCAATCCTGATTATCCCAGTCACTGAATCAATCCACCTCATAGAGGGCCTGCCCCCTGCCCCCCCCCTTGCGCTGTCCCTCCACTCTACCAAGCATGATGTCCCTCCTTACAACATGTCCAAAATATGCTAGACAGAGCCTCAGAATCCTTGCCTCCAAGAAGCTGCCTGATTTAACCCTTTCCAGGATGAATCTGTTTGTTTTCCTAGCAGTCCATGGTACCCTCAATACTCTTCTCCAGCACCACAGCTCAAAAGCATCAATTCTTCTATCCTCCTTAGTTATTGTTCAACTCTGATGGAAAACAAGTGAAAGCAAAGACCATGGCCTGTATCAGACGCACCTTAGTCTCCAGAGAGACACCATTGCTCTTCAGTACTTTGGAAAGGTCCCTAACAGCAGACTTTCCATGGCAATATGTCTTTTAATTTCCTGGCTACTGGTGCCTACACTGTTGACTGTGGAGCCAAGCAAGCTAAAGCTGTGAACAATCTCAATCTCTTCACCATCCA